TCAGGATATTTCAGATCCGGCGACACTGAAGCGTATCGAAATCGCAAAGCAACGAATCAAACAGATTGAGGGTCATCTAAAAACAGAACATAAACCTTAATTTGAACCAAGTTCTTTTTTGAAGATGAAAGCACTATTTTCTCTTTGTTATGTTTAGAGTGTGGTTTCAATAAATTGGAAACATTTATTTTAAACGTACATTTAAAGTATTTTTTTTTGGCTTTGCAAATTAATGGAATATCGGTTAATATAAGTTGATGAGTTGAGAAAAAAGTCTCAATATCATTGTTTTTGTCAAATACTTGAAGATCGTTCCAAATAGCATTCAAATTTTTACTTATTTGCGACGAAGCTTTGCTTTTTTGCGACAAAATAGTGATCACATCTGTTCTAGAAAAGGTAAAATGTTCAACAAAAGAAGAAATGGAAATTCTTCTCTCGAACTTACGAAGTAGCTTTCCTCTTAAAAGTTAGGAGAACTTCTTAAAAAAACTGCGAAAGTAGAAGTACCTTAAATAAGACTTTATTGTTTGTTTTGTAAATTCTTTCGAACAGTGAATACGTCAGAACACAATACCACAAAAATTAATTCAAATTTTCTTTGATATACACCACACCATTGCTACAAAGACACTTAGTTATTAGCGCCATCTAGTTCGTGCGAGAAAAAATCTTCACATTTCACACACGTACTATTGAGTTACTTCACTATGCAATACAGTGAGGGCGCCAGTGATACGTGTTTTGCACCAACCCAGTGATATACACCTATATGCATAAGTATTCTCTCTCTAAGTTCTTTTCTTTACTCTAATAGTAACAATCCACAAAATATTTTCCGAAAATCACAAAAATTACAATAATTATTGTAATAAAGAAAATAAAGAAGTTTCTGATAGTTTTGCACATTTATGTTTAAAGACTACATAGAAATGGAAGAAATATTTGAAATTGTTAGGGTTTTTCACAAAAAATTCTTTCGATTTGCTGGGGTTATTGATTGGCTGATTGACCGCCCCCTTAAATTTTTTCCATGCCCATGTATGTACTGAACCAAACCTGACTGCCGCGTCACTCTAACTAGTTAAAGTCCTGACAGCAGCGCATGTTTATATGTACTGTCCATCACTTAAGGTTGAGTAACCTTAGCCGGCGCCACATGAGGTCAATCACGAAATTCTAGTGCATCTAGTTTTTGATAAGATTTCACTAGAAAATTCTAGTGCGTGAAGTTAGCTCTCAGTAGTTTTTCATATAAATTATAAGGCTTCTGGTGTGAAGTTGGTTTCGTTTGTGACGTCATTCTTCGCACTAGATTTACTAGTTTTTCTAGTATTCACAAGCGTGATTCGCCCCATGCGGCGCCATCATGGTGAATAATCAATGGTTGATAAAAAAAATCCGAGTGTTTCGCCTACTTTGAATGAAACTGATTGAATAATTTAAATTGACATCTTATTGATGTCATCTATTTATTATTAAAAAAACAATTTTACGCTTGTTGACTGATGTAATTTATTTTTTCGATTGTCCGGAAAGAATTTCATTCATTAATTTCATGGCTTGGATTCGTTTTTCATAAAATTCAACTTTTTCTTCAAAGGTCCATTCAGATGGGTCAATTTCCGAATATTCATTACCTTGTTCAAAAGCATCATTGAGATTTCCTATTTGACTGGCACTTTCACTCAAAGAAGTTTTGGGATTTTCAACTGACTTTGGGAGCAAAGGTGGAGGCAGAGGTGGAGGTGCCGGCGGCGATGATGCTATTTTGTTGACATGACTTTTCGTGGACATAGCCCCTTGACCGTGATGCATATGTCTGTCTGAAGTTATTGATTCGGCGTCGAGGTGTGGTTGATTAAGACTTACAGACTGACTTAAATCTGTTTGCTTATTTGGACTAGCTTTATGAATGTAGTTTGAAACTAAAGATGAAGCCGAATCTATGTCCACTCCTGATGAGGAATACTTCTTTGAATGTGGTTCGTCACTATTCGAGTTTTGTGGAGCTGTTTTCGAAATATGTTCCCAAACATTCGTGTATGGAGCCAATATTTGTGCCACTGTAGGGGATGGTACCCGATGTGGACTTCGCAGCGAATCAATGAACGCTTTTCTAAACGGACTCTCGAATGTTAACTGCTGTATAACATCTCGTACTGTTGGCGTCAATATTTTATGTTGGTGGAAAAGTCGAATGTTTGGAGTAACATTTGATTTCATCTGGACTTGATTGGGCGCTGCATTGGAAAGCTGTAGAAATGTTGAAGATTAGACATATGTGGTATTCAAGACACTCGAATCGAATATTGATCGTGCACTCACCGCGGAAATTGCAAAGCAGCCCATAAAAAATGACACGAAAATCGTTTGATCAAACATTTTGCCAAAAGTTGTTTTTCGCTTGTGGCTTCAGAATATTTTAGTAGGTTAAATTGGAACCACCGTTCAGAACTCAGAGCTCACTCACAAGTAATTACGTATAATAACTGAAGTTTATATGCTTTTTGAGCAAGGACAATTCATTCCGATTCATTAAAAATGCAAATCAATTCAGCGAATCATGTCTTAATTCAAATTCACACTTCGATCTTCTGTTGAATTTTAAATTAATGGCGAAGTTAAGCATATGTTTATGAATTTATTTATTCATTATATTTTAAGAGGATTGTTAATTTTTATGTGGAAATTCAAGTGAATTTTCAATTTGAAGGAAATTTGCAAAAAAACTGTATATAAATTGAGGACTTTTGACGAATAAACTCAGTAAATTGATAGTTTTTGTTGACTCTAAAGCGAGAAATGATGGATCGAAATTTGTTCATTCTACTTTCAGTGGGCTTCATTTCGCAGGTAGGCTTTTCAGAATTGTAGAAAATTATTTTTATTGAAGAGGAATTTCATATTAATGTCAGGAATTGTTCCTCTGAGGAGGAGAGGCTAATGAGAAGGAGAAGAGCGCTGAGGAGGATATTAAGTGAGGAGACAAAAAGTTTTGTACAAAAAGCGATTTTTATCCTCCTCAGCGCTCTCCTCCTCCTCTTCCTTGGACTCCTCGCCATTCCTCGTCCTTAGAAGAACAATTCCCGATTAAAATCTTAATTTCCGATTTTCTCTCTGATAGTTTTTGATTGGAGATGTCGTTGCACCTGCTTCAAAATACGTGGAAAATCTACCAACACGGAGAAGAGTAATAATGAAATATCAATATTGAACCTATACTTTACTGACGATTTTCATTTATTATCTATAGATTTATTATAATAAAAACTTGGCAGCCCCCATTGACCTCACCAAAGAGCCTGGATACGACTCCGTGGTAAGACTTAACAAGTTTAAAATTGACTTTTTAATAAATGTCCAGACCAGAGCAACTAATTGCGTTCTGTTCACTGTTTTATATCACTTACAGGATCTACAAAAAGAAATCGATGAATTATACACTGGAGATTATGGTCGCTACAAACCAAAACTTCCTCTAAAAGTTAGTTCCACTGCGGCAAAATCGACTCCACCACCTGATGTAGTAGTAGACAAGCACGTGGTGTCGGAAGAAAACCCAAAAGCTGTTCATTCAAAATCCAAGACACTTCCACCTGTTAAGGTTGGCAAGCCAACACCTCAAATTGAGAGGGATTCATCTTTCACTTCTGTCAAAGATCGAGTTAAGGAAATCGAAGAGAAAATTTCGAAAAGCCCTTGAAGCGATCCGAAATTTTCCACAGCGCAATCTATTCTATTTTTCTGCAATAAATAATTGTAATTCGTA